AAAATTTCATGTATCTATGGTCATTTGTTTTACAGTTACATCAAAAACCAAAATCGATTTTGTCGAAAAATGAGTGTGCGTAAAATTTCCTGTTTTCCCCTTAATTTTTAATTTGTTTTTTTCAATTATTTAGAAAAGTATTAAGAATTTTTTACTTTTGACCCCCAAAAGTACCAACTAGATTCACTTTCTGATCGAACGAGGTACTGAAGTAAAAAATCGAAGCATTTTTACTGCCCCAAAACGTGATGACAGACACAAAAAAAAAAAAACACACATCATGGTAAAATCAATACATTCATCGCTCCGCTCAGAATCTAATATCACACATTATATTGTAAAATCAATAAATTCATTGCTTTGCTCAGAATCTAAAACAAACATTAAGTATGATGAAAGAAATCCAACAACCCATCACTAAATACGAAGTAAGTAGGTACATAATATTATAATATATTAATATATTAATGTAATACATTAGGATTTTATTGGTACTTACACTGCATGAGTCTCTTGCTGCTTTACCCGCACACAAGAAGTGGTCTACGATCCCGCCCGGGGCTGCGCTTCCATATTTGTACTTGCACTCCTGATTTGTCCACACTGGTACGGTGACCTTCTGCARAACCGCTGGTTGTGGTCCACCTGAAAACAGACGAAGTACCGGGTTGATTATCAATCGCGAAAATTGTTATCTCCTTCAACACTCACTCTCTCTCAAGCTACCCCAGCCGATGACAGTGGCCGTCTGTCCCGCGTACATAGATCTGCTCGTCGGCAAACATATTGGGTGTACTTGTTTATCAAACTTCACTGGTTTATCCAGAGTCAGAAGCGCGATATCGTTGTACTGAAGTTAAAATACAATATGAGTTAYTATCGGAAGTAAATATATCTTATTCATTTATAGCTAGTGGATATATACACAACGTTTTACTAACCAGTGTTCTTTGATCAAATCCTTTGTGCCGAACGACTCTTTTGATTTTTCTCTCTAAATGTTTYACGTCAGATTTGCTTTTGATATTGTAGTCTCCGAGGTTTGCTGTCAAACGAGCCACGTCCCATGAACTCATGCTACAATTAAATTTCAGAATATCAAGACGATGTGGGTCGTTTAAAAACATCGGGTTATTCTATATGTCAATATACTTACTGAGCAACGCAATGTGCTGCTGTCAACACGTGTGTGTCATCGATTAGAGATCCTCCACAAAAATGTCTGCCAGAATTGAATATAGCTACCTAAAATCGTTTACAACTCGTCATAGCTAAAAACGCCTATGTGTGGAGCACATAATTTACGAGTAATTGAGTATCTACCTACTTACACCTATACAAAAACGGTGARAACATCATCACGAACCATTGTCGTTTTAGATTTGAATTCACTATAAATTATATGTAAGTGTACAGATAGTATATGTACTAACTATATGTAAGTAGAAATGGCAGAAATCATAACCTAACTATGGATCTATAATATGGCAGCCGAAAATTATACACCGGAGAACAATACTACCGAGTGTAATAACATAATAAACGAGATTACAATGTGAAACAATTATTTTCGCTATTATTGGAGCATATTATGATGTCAGCAGTTCTATAATATGTGTATCGTATCATCGCATTATAGATGATCTCTCTATTTCGATTGATTATGAAGACATTATCGTACCGTACATGTGACGGACATCGGAAATGTATAGATTATAATATATAGATACCTACTTATAGGCCATCAAGCTCAATCTTATGAGCGTATAGACTATTTTTCAGATTGACCTAGTTTCATCAATTTCCACTGAACATAAAAGATATTTTACCATGACATTTGTTAGTATACATTACACTTGTATATGAATTACTATATTATCTATAGGTATACTTACGATCCACGGCCATTCTCCGGGATCTGCGTTTTGACCACCGACAATCCTCTCTTGATCTTGTGGACCRTTTTTCAGCCCACATTGAAAATCATACCCCTCATTATTGTCGACATAAGACGGTGTGGTACTGGTGGTGGTAGAGGTGGTAGGTTTGTTTTKCGGGGTAGTAGTAGTGAAATTTTGATGATCGTGTGGAGGCCATGACGGTATCGATGGTTGCTGTGGAGGCCATGGTGGCAAAGCCGGTTGCTGAGGAGGCATTGGTGGTGGCGTTTGTGGAGGATGTGTAGGAATCGGTGGAATAGTATGGTCCGGAGGATGCGTTGGCAAAGGCGGCGGCCAATTCGGTGGCACTACCATCGACGGGGGTGGTCTCATTCCTTCTTCTTTGTGACTCTCTCCGATGAAGCTCGGGTGATCGCAACATACGCCAAACATCTAAATGCCAATCAATGTACGGTTAGTGTTATTCTGTTTTGGGGTATAAGTTTGTTTTTAACGTTTTATTAAAAACTTTCGGTTTTAATTTTAATWGTATAAAATAATAAGCGCAAACTATATACCTAGTTACATAATATATTATTTTACTATTTCATCATTTAAGGCGATAATCTTAGTTGTAAAACAACATTGTTATAATTCCAGAAATATCGATTCATAGACGGGAATTTTCGGTTATACATTAAAATATTAAATCATATRCTATTGTACATTMTAACAAATGTATATTGTATATTATATTGTGTATTCACCTGTTTGTGGTCGATACTTATATAAGTGCACGCGTCGTACATTCCTGCCATCCACGAGTCCCAGTACTGAAAGTTTGGTACTTTAATGTATGGATAGCACGCCCGAAAACTYGTGCATTTGCCCAATGTGCCTCTGCTCGTCAGACACGGACCCGACACCATCGTCCACGAACCCTGTCTTTTCGTTCTCGATGCCCTGTTGGTACTTAACTTGTCGACGCTTTGAAGGCCGCTATCGCTATTACTCATCATCGTATCATAGTCGTGACTGATATCGTGGCCCTCATCTGCAGGATATGCTATAAAGTGACACAACATTATTATAAGCACCTACAACAATTCAAAATTTATATTATTTTACATTTTTAAATTTCGAACGTTATTCGCGGCTGAGCGCAGTATGATAATATCGTCCATGCACGAGTGCGGAAAACGAAGGTCCGCCRCAGCTGGGAATTTTCTATGGGCCATGGGGGAGGGGGGTCAAGTTCCATAGATATGAATTTTACAGAGAACATCATCATAAGATATTTTATTGAGCACTGTAAGGGTAAAATATTATATTTTCATGATAATACTGAATCAATTTTTCTCGGCTTCTTGGCCATTTCGGCATTCCYTCCCTGCGGACTCCGCAGACGCATGCTTGATATTAATCATTAAATAATATTATTAACTCGATGCGGGAGCGCCGGTGGGATTCATACTGCAAAATATATAAGTGCAGTATGATTCATATTATTCATACTGTATGAATAGTATGATGTGTGTACAACACACACGTCAACCTAACAAAACTGTCGTTATTTTATCACAAATATTCATCAATAATTTATACGGGACGTTTGCTACACCTATAATAATAATATATAGAATTACACGTTTACACGCAAGTGGACAGAAATATGGTTCACGGTGACATTAAATAATAATATAATATTTTAAGATAAGTCTGCAACGCACTTTGTGTTATCGAGACCGGTTCGAGACGCACGCGCATACTYATATATTATATAATATACACAATATATAATACATACCAACCTAGCTATATATAAATAAGCTTAGCCCAGTGACGTGCGCAATAATAAAAGCCTTTATGACGACGTTCGTTACTTCGGTTTTTATAATCTATTAGGAGAATATTGTTATTAAATTATTATAATTTATAATACACTAAGTGTTAATCCCGATCCTGATTCCATTAGTAAGAATAGAACGGATAAAATAATAATAATTATTATTATAGATCATTTATTGTAGGTAATCTCCATGACTCTTATTACAATAATACTCTCGTTCATAATAATATTATACGGGTTTTCGGGATTTTATTTATTTAGGCAGGTGGTCTAATTTTGTTTGGCTGTTATAAGGTTGTAATAACAATCTTAAATCTGGCTAAACTCATATAATTTAATAGTATGTACAATGTAGGTAGTTGGTACTTCTATAATATGAAATGCATAAATGCATTGAACAAACACTATACGAATGTTACATTGTTACTCCGTCGACTTAAAACGAAACGATTGACGCCAGTCAYACAAATAGGACTAATTTTATTTTCTGGGTTGGAAGTCATCGCCYTTATAGGCTTATTTATTCTATCCGAAAATTCTCTTACATCATACGCCCTCTATGAAGTTATTAAATATTTCTAAGTAACTTATKATACGAGGAATGTACGTATAGGTAATACTAAGTAGGTACAAGGGCGCCCATCAGGAGGTAGAAGGGGGGGACATGTCACCCCCCTAGAAAAAATATTGTGATTTTAAAAAGTCACGCAATTTACAGTTTGTTTTAAAATCTTATTTTCATTAGCTAATAAAATAAATTTAATTGATTTTCAAGTTTTTTTATTTCATGACTGTCACCCCCTTCGTATTTTAATCATCAAATTTAAATTTAATACTAATATTGATTTTAAATTATATATTTCTAATGTATCTTTATTCTTTCATAAATTGACAACATCTCATTCAATATTGAGAATAGCTCAATGAAGTCATAATACACACACATGTATATATATATATAATATACCTAGAATTATAGATTAAATTGTTTGCCTAATCGACAAAAACATTGTTAAGAGTTTAGAGACATCGAAAATATTATTTTTTCAATTACTTTTATTTATATTTAATTTCAAAAAAAAAAAAAAAACCAAAACCAAAAATGATAAGTATTTATACTTAGTATAAATATCATTATAACTTATACCATATATTATACTTAAGTACACATGTACACTATCGTTTGAAGAGAATTTGATTTTTTGGGGGGAAATCCAAGTCTCATTTGAGCCACCAATACATACTATACATTTATTGCATCAGGTGTACGATTTTTTAATATTTTTTTATTAGTCATATTGATTTGTATACTGCAAGCATATTATTATAAGGTACGACGTGTTGTCGCATATATCTATTACAACAGGTGYCTGTGATATGACGAGTGTTTTTCCCAACATTCGCGAATTTAATGAACGATAATCATAGGGTGCAGTAATGCTTTAATAGAATGATGCTGGGCTAATTACCCTGCAGCGGCAGTCCGATTAATCATGCAAAAACGGACCACCGTTGTGGCGTTGTCGCTGCGTGCGTATTATTATTAAATATGACGCGGCTTAATCGAAACACGAAGTCGCTTCCGGCGACCGATACAGGTGGYATATATGTATAATATAATACCGTTTACTTTATACGCCATAATGGTGTAAATGTGTAATTTAGATATCTGAAAACAAAATAATATAATGTATATACAAACATACATCTATCTAGAGCTTATGTTATTTGCGCGTAATACGAATTTTCTTTTCATACTCCTCACACGGTACCTAATCGTTYTCTGGCCTTCCCCCCGGATATGGGCATTATTTTATCACGATCGCGTTGTAGGAATAATTTATTAGCTTTTTGGATACGATGTAAAATTCCACGAAACACCACTTACCTAACCTAATATACCCGCCGCGYGCCGCGAGTATATTATTAAGACGTGTTAACCGCGCTTTGATCTTTCACGTCTACCTAGCTAGGCGTCAGTCTCGATAGTCGATGCGATTTAATAACTAAGAACACGATGTCGTAGATTGTTTCTATAGGTGTACAGTATTATTGCCTACAGATTTTTTATCCCCGCACGAATTCATATAAATTAAATATATACATATTACAAATTTGTATACGCGTGTTGCGTGTAATGTTTCAATAATATCGTCTGCAGCCTGCGGTTGTGATAACACATATTATTTTCTTAAACGATCGAGTTTTTTTTTTTTTTTCAAACCGCAGTCAACAGTCATGCGATTTTTATTGTGATGATCGGATCACRTGTGATTATTAATCAATCGCATCATTTTAGTTTCTGCGAATATATAGAAAGAATAAATAATAGAAAGCCGTTCGTCGTACAGAGTCATAACGACTTCCACGGCTACCTACACGTAATTACTTTGTGACTTGTAAGTACAAGTAGTTCTTTAAGAGATCAAAACAATAACAGCTGTTTAAACTGATGATTGTATACAATATAATATTATAATGTATAAAATGTGCGTATCGGATAAAACTTCTATTGCAACAGACTTCGCAATGCACGTAGTGTAAAGTGTTATATGGCAAGAGCCAAGAATTGCCAGCATTTGAAATTAAAGTATTTCGTATATGAGATCAATTTTGATATATTGGTAGGTACTTTTAAATATATCACATACATTTTGAAAATATACAAAATACATTTTTCACGCCATGGAGATTACTAAAAATAAGGCCTGAGCCACCCCCAAACTATAAAAATAATATGTTGAACAATAATTTTTAATACTTGTATAAACGTATAGGTGCACTGTATATACTGTACTCAATATTTGTTTTTGTGTTCTCAAACGGAAATTTAACTATATCTACGTGTCGTGTAAATGAGTAAAAGTCAAATAACCGTCTCTCAAATTTTCGTTAATATTATTTTAAATTACTAAGACTCCTTTCATCCAATAAAAAGTTTGTGAATCCACCATCGTCTGAATTTATCCAGTTCTACAGCCTGTCAAAGTTWTCCAATCAACATGTTCTCAARTATATGTTCTACAAATATATATTTGTTTAAAAGGAAACCAACAACGATTCTATTAAAGCTTGATAGTTAATACATTTTAAAATACGAATTACAATTAATTGTGTTAGTGTAGGTATTACTAATTACTATATATTGTAAAATACAATTTATTAATTTATTTTCAGCTAAGAAAGTATCAWCTAAGGAGTTTAAAAAAATAAAAAGCGGTTAAGTGGGTAACGCTCTGCAGTAGGTTACAAGTGGGTCACTGTAATGAATGATTTCAAGTTACACATTTTTTGAATTACAACGGAATAGGAATATCGTTCCATTTGAATAAAATGTCCAAAAATGTAGAAATTCGAATTTCAAATGCTCATAAAAATGTAATTTAACTTTTAGTGGACATTTTTTTATCCATTAAGATGTATAAATACATATRATAAAATTTGGTTCRAATTTTCAAATTTTCGATTTAAAAAGAAATGTTTTATGAATTTCTAACT